ATAAAAAAAGACTATAAATTGAGAATTTTAACACACATGCATATAATATGTATATATACACTTAAAACAAAATAGGGATTGTTTTTAAAAATAAAATAAAAACTGTTTTTGTATTTCCCATTTGCTTTTGAGTTGTTCATTGACTATTATATTTGGTTGCCTTTCTAGGTTTAAAGTGTTACTTCATATCTTGCCTCTAAGTTTTTACAATAGTATAGCAGGATATATTTGTATCTTATTAATTATGGTGTCTCTCCCTTTTTTTGAATCTTTAAAATTAAAGAATATGATGAAAAATCAACTTAAAATTTATAATAAGAAAACAAACATTAGGTAGACATTTCAAGTATATATCAAAATCAAATGAAGTGATACTTAAAAGTGATATAGAGCTATTTTAATTAAATGTTAGTTTATTGACTTGATTTAAATGAGAAAGTGAGTGAGAGTTTCAATGAGTTAAAAAACACCATTAACCAAGATACTTACTTTTGGAGTTTGAAGATTTAGTTTTATAGTCTTTTATAGGTTTAAAGAAAGAAATTAAGAGTTTTAACTATTATAAATATTTTATTTGGATTTAATGTTAAATTTTAAATATAATAAAGATAAATGATATTTTAATAAATAGTTGTTGAATATGAAAAATTTTATATGTATATTAAAGCTTAATTAGGTTTTTACATGAAAGAGAAAACAAAATGACAAATCTCTTTTTTTTTTTTTTAAATTTAATATGCATGTAAAATAATAATAATAATAATAATAATAATGCATATTACTCCTTATTAATGCATCTCTTTCATTTTTTTTTAAGCAATTGTTAAACATAATACTATATATTGTATATATATAACGGCATATTTTATTTAATGTATAAAGTAACATTTTATATATATAATATATTTTTAATATAATTATTTATTATATTTTTATATTATATTTTTTAAATTTTATAATTTTTATTTCTTAATAAATTAACAAATATGATAATTAATTAAAATTAAAAAATCTGACATTAATAATTAAAATTTAACAATAACATCACTCCTCAGTCAAGACTTGTGGGGAGAGGGAGACCCGTGTTTTCCTTTTTTTCAACGGTGAAAAATTAGGTAATCAGTCAAGACTTGTGGGGAGACCCGTGTTTTCCTTTTTTTCAACGGTGAAAAATTAGGTAATCTGAGGAGATAATCACAACAATACTACAATGACAACTTGGAAGTTAATGTAGTTGGTGGGCTAACGCCGCAAGTGCTTGGGGAGACCGGTGCTGGAGCTGCTCAAAACCCAAAAGTCTTTCATTATTACTTTCTTTCTCTCAGTTGTGATAATGATATGGCTATAATGTCATGAACACCGTAAATTTACCATTAAGATATATTATTAAATAAGTAAAATAATGATAAATAGAATTAAAATTAAAAATTAAAAATTAAAATTAAAATATAAATTTAATTATATAATATAAATTATATTATTTAAAATAGTAAAAATTAAATGATATATTATTTTATAATCATTTTTATTTTTTAATTTATAATATTATATATATTAATTAATTTAATAACATAACTTATTAACCTTAAATTGTCATTTTTCCTATCATTACTCAATGTGTAAATTTATATAAAAATTAAATTGAAATAAGTAAATTTAATAAAAAAGTAATATAATTAAAA